GGGGGGGTGGGGATTGCTGGGGTGGGGGTGTTTATTGCGGGGGGGGTGGGAATTGTTGGGGAGGGAGATGTTTATTGCAGGGGGGTGGGGATTGTTGGGGAGGGGATATTTATTGTGCGGGGGTGGGGATTGTTGGGTGGGAGATGTTTATTGGGGGCGGTGATAAGAATTGTTGGGGTGGGGGATGAGGGACACACTGGATTCTGAGTTCTCTCTCTGCAGTTTGTGCTCAGTCCCTACAAGTGACACTTTAGCTGATCAGGGCTGTCACAGATGCTTCTTCCCCCTGGTTTGAGAGTTCAGTGATTCCCATGTGTCAATGGGAATATTGGAATTGTTTAGGGAGGTTTTCAGACTGTCACTGTAGCATTTCCCCTGCCCTCCTGGTGATCACTTACTATTGCTGAGCTTAGAGTAGAGCAATTGTTTCAGGTACCCTGTGATGGACATGGGTTGAATGTGACCCAGCCATCATAGCCGGGCATGTGTGACCACTGCCCCAATACTGGGGATACTGACCTGGGAGAGGACACTCACATTGGTACACCCATCATACTAATGGATTGGCAGGATTTTGCAAAGGCAGCACTGGCAATAACGCTCTGGTGGTTTGAGGTCCCTGCTCTGCAGATCAGGAGTTTGCTGCTGGGTTCGAGGTCTCGGACTTAGAACACTCTGTTCCTCAGATGTCCAGGGACAGCACCGGCACATTGGAATCGATGCTGGATTTCATCGTCAATGCCTGCTTGGACCAAGAGGAGGTTCCCGAGGTATGGGAAATGATCCGCATTGTCCGGGGGCTCTCCTTTGCATTTGAGGAGGTGTTGGTGGTGGTGGGGGGGTGCATTGTTGAGTGGTAGGATCAGGCTGGTACAGAACCTTTCCTTTCTGAATGTTTAAGATGAGGCCCATTCTCTCATACTCCTCGCTGAATATGGTGGTTGAAAACTCAGCTCCGAGTGTGCGCTCAACAGGCACTGACTGCGTACTGCAGCTCGATGACAGGTATCAGGGTGGACTGGGTTCTGGGTTGGAGGCGTTGAAGGTTGAATAGTTTCCCACTCGACCTGCAGATTAACTCCACTCTAACAGGAAGGTTCGTGGACATAAGGTGGAGTGTTGTGGTGAGGAAGATAATAAAGATGCTGCAGCCCTGTTTGACCCCAGTCTGCACTCGTATTGGAATCTTTGGTGGATCCATTGATGAGGATCACAGCTTGCATGTCACTGTGAAGCAGCAGGTGGAGAATGGTGATGGATCTCTGCGAGCAGCTGGGTTTGAGGAGGGTGTTTTGCAATCCCTCATGGTTGACAGAGTCCAAAGCCTTTGGGAGGTTGAAGAAGGCCCTGAACAGAGGTTGGTGTTGTTCCTGCACTTTCCTGGGGTTTACTGTGCATTGAGAATCATGTCCATTGTCCCTCTGGATGGGCAGAAGCTGCACTAAGACCGAGGGAGAAGCTCTTCGGTCACTGGGAGGAGGTGGTTGAGGAGGATTCTCATGATGCCTTTTCTTGTGGTGAACAGTCAGGAAACCCCTCTGTAATTTCCTTAGTCAGACCTGTCTCGAGAGTTTAATTTGGATAAATGCAAGGTATTGCATTTAGGTAAAATGAACAAGGGCAGGACTTACACAGTTAATGGTAGGTCCTTGGAGAGTATTGATGAACAGAAAGACCTAGTGGTTCAGGTACATAATTCTTTGAAAGTTGTGTTGCAGGTAGACAGGGTGGTTATGAAGGCATTCATTTATTCTTTTATTCATTCACAGGATGAGGGCATCACTGACTAGGCCAGCATTTATTGCTAATCCCTAATTGCCCAGAGGGCAGTTATGAGTCAACCATATTGCAGTGGGTCTGGAGTCACATGTAGGCCAGACCGCGTGAGGGTGGCAGATTTCCTTCCCTAAAGGACATTAGTAAACCAGATAGGTTTTTCCCTGACAATCAGCAATAGATTCATGGTCATCATTAGACTCTTAATTCCAGATATTTATTGAATTCAAATTCCACCATCTGCCATGACAGGATTCGAACCCAGGTCCCCCGAATGTTTTCTGGGACTCTAGATTAACAGTCCAGCGATAATACCACTAAGCCAAAGCCTCCCCTTCACACTTGCTTTCATTGCTCAGACCTTTGAGTATAGACATTGGGACATCATGTTGAGATTGTAGAAGGCATTGGTGTGGCCACTTTTGGGGTACCACATGCAGTTCTGGTTGCCCTGCTATACCAAGGACATTAGTAAATTGGAGAGGGTTCAGAAAAGATTTACCAGGATGTTGCTGGGACTGGAGGGTTTGAGGGAAGACTGGGGCTATCTTCCCTGGAGCATCAGAGGCTGAGGGGTGACCTTATAGTGGCTTATAAAATCATGAGGGGCATGGATAGGGTGAATAGCCAAGGGCTTTTCCCTGGGGTGGGTGGAGTCCAAAACTAGAGGGCATAGGTTTAAGGTGAGAGGGGAAAGATTTAAAAAGGACCTGAGGGATAACTTTTTCATGCAGCAACTAATGCATTGATGGAAATGCACTGCTAGGGGAAGTGGTTGAGGCGGGTACAATTACAACATTTACAAGGCATCTGGATGGGTACATGAACAGGAAGGGTTTAGGGGGATACGGGCCAAATGCTGGCAAATGGGACTAAGTCAGATTGGGAAGTCTGATCGAAGCGGATAGGTTGGACCAAAGGGTCTGTTTCCACGCTGTATGACTCTGTAACTCTTTAATAAGGAGGGATCTTATAAAAACCTATAAAATTCTAACAGAATTAGACAAGGTAAATGCAGGAATTATATTCTTGATAACCGGGCAGTCCAGAACCAGGGCCACAGTCTAAGAATCTGTGGTAGGCCTTTTAGGACTAAGATGAGAAGAACTTTTTTCACTCAGAGAGTGACGAGCATGTGGATTTCTTTGCCATAGACAGTATTTGAGGCAAAGACATTGAATGTTTTCAGGAAGGAGTTAGATATAATCCTTACAGCTAGAAGGATCAAAGGATATAGGGGAGAAAGCATGAACAGAGTACTCAGTTAGATGATCAGTCATGTTCGTATTGAGTGGTGCAGCAGGCTGAATAATTTACGCCTCTTCCTATTTTCTATGTTCCTATGTTGATTGTGCGTGATCCATCTTCTCTTTGAGTGTAGCATACTGTTCAGCTCCTGTTTCTCCCATCAATCTTCAATTCAGTCTATGTGGCTCAGCTCTGTTCTTACCCCATTGATGTCTGCTCCCAGTTGATTATTCTTAGACCATATTGTTCATTGTTACTTTAAACCACATCCTAAATCTTATTGTACAAAAGTCACTCTGCTGTAAATATTCCCCATTGACACTTGTTGCATTTGGCCCACATCATTACCCAAGAACAAGGCCTAGCACTTGTTGGATTGAACACATATTGCTGTAGAAAATTCTCCTGAACACAACGTAAAAAATGTTTGCCATTCACTAACCTAAACACTACCATTATCCCAGTCTATATTCAGTTTATTCAAGCCCCCTTAATTGTAACTACTCCATGATGTTTGCACCTCTATGTAGCTTCCCTGTGGATTTGTTTCTATATATATCCTTCTCATGAGTGGGTGGCCTACAAATTATACCAAGTAATGTAATTGCACCTTTTTTGTTCTTTAGCTCCAGCCAATTTGACTCTGTGAACCTTGTCAGTTTATAGAAGCTCAATTATTAAAGCAACTTTCTAGATTAAATCCACGTGAATAGCTTTTGCTGTAAATTACTGATTTGGGCTTTTTTAATACTTTTGCAGAAATATGCTAATTATCTTTTTTGCTTATTCTGAAAAACCATTAGTAGCCTAGTTTGTTACAACAAAATACTCTGCTTCTGAATGCACACATTTTTAATCTCTCTGTCTCTCTCACACACACACACACACACACACACGCACACACACGCGCACACTCACGCACGCGCACGCGCACACGCACACACACACACAACAGAGCAATTGAGCAATGCTCAGTGCCAGTTGTGGTGCATTTTCAGGTGGAAGCAGAGGTCAGAAAGAGAACTGATTCTATGACCCCATAACCTCCTGTGGTAAAACTGCACAGAAGCCTTTCAACAAAACACACTAAAAAATGTTTAAATGTGTAAGAAAATGGATTTAAATAGTATATCGTGCTATCCTGCAGATATTTTATATCTATTCACATCCAATAAATTATGTTTTTAAGTTGGGTCATTGAATATGACAGTAAATATGCACATAGCAAGATCCCAGAGTTAGCACATATGATAACTGTAGGATCAATGACAGGATTCCTTGTTCTTTTTCATTAGTTACTTTACATTTGCTTGATAGACAGATAAGGGATTTGTTCAACATCATTTCCAAGTGATAAGTTTTCAAGTCATAGTCATAGAGTCATACAGCATGGAAACAGACCCTTTGGTCCACATGGTCCATGCTGACCATAATCCCAAACTAAACTAGTCCCACCTGTCTGCTCGTGGTCCACATCCCTCCAAACATTTCTTATTCATGTACTTATCCAAATGCCTTTTAAATATTGTAACTGTACCCACATCCACCACTTTCTCTGGAAGTTCATTCCACACACAAACCACTCTCTGTATAAAATAATTGCCTCTCATGTCTTTCCTGGGCATGGGTCTTGAGGCTTTAGCCTTTTGACTCAGCGGCAAATGGGCTCCCGAATGCTGCGTAGAATAACTTAAATAGAGAAAGGTTCTCTGATAAAATCCCCAATAAATCTTTGTCAAACAATCCAACCTGACACCATCAGAAAACAGTAATTCAATCAGCAGTGTATGTATTGATGTTAATCTTGGTGATGTGTTTGTGTAGTACCTCTGCATATTTTGACATTGAGCTGGCCTCCACAGCGTAGACTTTCCTAGCTCCTGCTTGAACTGCGAAGAACGAGAGGATTCCTGACCCACATCCCACGTCAAGAACAACCTTTAAACACAATAAAACACAATAATCAGAACCAAAGTACCCTGGTAATGTTAAACCTTAATCACATCAAAAACCTGTGCCTGGCTGAGTAGGCTAGACCCAAGTTAATACAATTTAAGATTATGCTTTGTTCAGAAGATTGTAAGCTGGCAAACTTTATTGCAGAATTGACAGCTGTACCAAATGGATGGGACATAAGTTTGTGTGCACAAGTCTTTACAATCCTGAGCAATAGCAATAGCGAATATGACTGAAAATTGGATATTTCTGTACAGTGTAAGGCAAGTTAATTTCTGACATAAAATTATACAAACACCATCACCATTGGCATCTGACAGCCAAAGTTACATTCACACAATAAATCTTGTTGTGCATATCAAATCCCACGTGTGAACAGATAAGCATGACAGATCTAGTAGGAACTGCCGATGCTGGAGAATCAGAGATAACAAGGTGTAGAGCTGGATGAACGCAGCAGGCCAAAATGAAGAAGGGTCTAGACCCGAAACGTCAGTTTTCCTGCTCCTCTGATGCTGCTTGGCCTGCTGTGTTCATCCAGCTCCACACCTTGTTATCTCAGCATGACAGATCATCGTTTTCAATTCAAAATCAAATCTGAAAATTTGAAAACTTTAACAAGGCTCTCAGTTGGTGTAACACTTTAAAAGTTTTTAAAAGTTATGAGAACACAAACCTTTGCTGTGAATGTGTGATGTTCACGCAGTTTCGATCTGAGGTATCAAATCCCTTAAATACATTTACATGTGCTTGCACAAACATGTACAAAAACAACTTAAATAAAAACCAAAAGAACCGCGGATGCTGTACATCAGAAACAAAAACTGTTCTGAAGAAGGGTCACCAGACCCGAAACGTTAACTCTCATTTCTCTCCACAGATGCTGAGCTTTTCCAGCAACTTCTGTTTTTGTTACAGAAACAACTTGTTGGGTTCAGTGCCTACTGCAGTACAATCTTAGAGGTTGAATTAGTAATTTCTCTGCAGGTTTGCTGTTGATGAGGGGCTGGTAATGGCAGATAGTGTCACCCAGATGAATAATTTGAATTTTTTTTAACTAAAAAAATTAAAGGATGTGCTTTGATCGATAATTTGTGCTGGTAAGAGTAAATTGATGCGCAGTTTGTCTAAGTTTTCTGATAGGGAACATATTAATCTCTCGTCAGTTCAATTATTTCTAATTGATTACATGGACTCCAACGTTTCACGCAATAGAAAAGTTTAATTATGCATGTGGGGACACCAAAGGTTACTATCAGATTCACAGAAGTAAATGATAGTACGTTCTGACAGTTTCACTATGCTGCTGCAAAATCATGGCTATGGCCAAATTGCCAAATCCAATCTTGCAATAAAGGTTTAAAAATAAATATCATATTAATCAGGTGACTCAATTAACCAGAAAGTCATGTATTGTCAGAGATGAACAAATATTTGCTGCACTGAAAACAACAAAAGCTGGAGATCACAGCCAATCAGGCAGCATCCATGGAGAGAAAGTAAGCTAACATTCTGAGGCTGGATAACGTTTCATCAGAGCTGGGAGTTCTTGTCGAAGTGAAGAGCAAAACTTCATTTGGCATTCCTCAAAGAGATGTCGAATTAAACACAATGTCGGAGAAAATTACTGCAGACGTTGGAATCTGTACTGAAAACAAAAAGTTCTGGAGATCACAGCGGGTCAAACAGCATCCACGGAGAGAAAGGAAGCTAACATTTCGAGTCTAGATCTCTCTTCATCAGAGCTGTTAGCTTCATTTAATTTTAAAGCAAAATGTAGTACTAGCCAACTGTGGGATTGAATACCAATAGGTAATTAGAAAGTAAAACAGTGCCCTACCCTACCCCACTAACTCAAATGCACTCACCTTACCATTAAAATCATCATGATTCTGAAGCATTGCCTTTTGATAAGTAGCTGTCTTTATATAGTCTTGCATCATGTTCTGTTGTTGTGATAAACAACCATAAAACTAAAAAAAAAAGGAATGCATGGCTTTAAACAATATCTGATCAATCTGATTTCCTGTTTTTCAGTATTTCAGATCTTCTTCTACTTGCTGCTACTGTCAAAACTCCACACTCCCTTTAATTCAACAAAGTTTCCATCAACTAAACATTAGCTCATGGGTTCAGATGTCAGGAATTGGAATCAAACTGACAGTTCATCCACAAAAAAAATTAACATTTTCAACAAAGTGACAAAGCAATATTGTTCACAAATATGAATGAGACAAATCAAGATGTAACGGTTCAGAAATGTTGAGTTGCCAGGGAGCCCATGAAGAGTTATTTAACATGGTGGGAATCGTTTTCTGGTAAGCATCAATGTTCAGAATTAATCTGAAATAACTGCACAGAGGCCACTATTCTGTCACCGAGTCACACTTTATTTACTTGAACACAGTACACTGGCCGTGCCCAGCCAGCTCAGAGTCAGTCTCCCTGAACTGAGGAGATTCTAAATCTCCTGTTTATATTGGTCAGCCAGGGCTTCTTGATTGGCCCAGGTTAACAACCTCAATCAAGGATCTCACAGTAAATGAGATCCACCTGCTTCCAATCACTACGTAATATAACCCTTAAAATGTTAACATTTTCAGCAAAGCTATAACCTGCTTAAATTTAGTTTGTTTGGGCTTTTCTACATGAATCGTACTTTCTACTTTCCTCTCCACAATTCTTGAAGATGTTGTTACTTCATAAATTTATGTCCATCTTTTCAGAGAGTCCACGTTCAGCTCTCTATAAACTGAGTGCATTAACCTTGCCCATTGACCCGAATGATTAGAATCCCAAATGAGAGTGGCCATGCTGCATTGTTCCTCCTCAAAGACCACTCTTACATTTCCAACTCATTTGATTTTGCTTTTATCTATCCCATTGTAGCCAGAGTATCTATCTAGCTTCTCCTCCCAGCCTCAGACCATGATCCATCTGTGGCCTTCTCACCTCGTTCATCTATATGCTACTGGCAACATAGTGTGCACATCTGTGAGTTCAGCTTATTTTAAAACTTTTGGAATTAAGATTGGTTATTGACAAGCTTAGCAGCGATGAATCATAGTTAGTTCTATCCATCTGATCTTTACCCTTGATTGCAGATGTACCTTTTCAATATTATATAAAATTTCACATTCAATTCATTCCATTTATTGACACACTTTGATTTGAAGTTCAAATTGTCAGTCACGATTTATCATATCTCTAACAAAAACAGAAATTGCTGGAGAAACTCAGCGAGCCTAGTAGCATCTGTGGAGAGAGAAACAGAGTTAAGGATTCACATCCAATGACCCTTCTTGAGATCTATCATATCTATCAACAAATATTACATACTCCAGTGTTTAGTAATGAATGAGGAAAGATTATGTTGATATATTTTTGATTATGTTTTAGCCCTATCTTTGAGCAGGATTTTAACAACTGATATCCCCACACTTTCAGCACAATTTGGTTCCCAGAGATTTTTGGAAAACAATGGTTAATGCGGCTATTTTCAAGTTATACAGTTATACAGCACAGAAACAGACCCATCAGTCCAACTCGTCTATGCTGACCAGATAAGAAGAACAATACAGCACAGGAGCAGGCCCTTCGGCCCTCCAAACCTGCGCTAACACGTTTTGCCCTTCCATACTAAAACTAAATATCCAGATATCCTAAGTTAATCTAGTCCCATTTGCCAATATTTGGCCCATATATATAAAGTTCCTTTAATGTTTTATTGAAAGGAGTTCTTTTATAGATACCATTGAAATCATTCAATTGTTCTTATTTTATTAAAGATACTGAATAAACAGTTAAACTTTTGATATATAGAATCCCTACAGTGTGGAAACAGGCCCTTTGGCCCAACAAGTCCACACCGAACCTCAGAGCATCCCACCCAGACCCATCCCCCTACAACCCACCTAATCTACACATCCCTATGGGCAATTTAGCTCGGCCAATCCACCGAACCTGCACATCTTTGGACTGTGGGAGGAAACCGGAGCACCCGGAGGAAACCCACACAGACCAGTCGCCCGAGGGTGGAATTGAACCCAGGTCCCTGGCGCTGTGAGGCAGCAGTGCTAACCACTGTGCCACCATGCCGCCCAAAATGAGACTTTCCAAGGCTTGTCACTCCCTTCACCAGGAAGAAGGCTACACCTAGATTTGAATTAGGATCACAGGGTTCAGAAACCAGCGCGCTCACCATTACACCGTGGCAACCAGAGCCAAGACATGTTCTGCCTTTACTTCAAATTTACAGCATTTCATTTATCATGGGTTAAATTATCTAAGCCATTGTAAGATATGGTCTATAATTTGCCTTGGGCACTTGACTAGTTCCTTACCTGGAAATACTGTATTGCAGATGCATCTTCTGTTCGTTGGCTAAATGCTGAACAAGCTTTATTGGAGTTTTTAAACATATTTAAGGAATTGTAAAAGGTAAAAAACTCTGAAAACAAAAAGATAAAGATTTTGTGAAAACTCAAGCCTTGCTTATACAGTGACCATTATGACCACAACTATCGTCTAACAGCACCTCTGACACACCCAAAATCGGATTCATTAAAATTTTTTAAAAAATCAACTCACACCAGTTTTAGAAATGTTCACACATCACCCTGAGTGCAAGCAAAAAGCAGAAATTGCTGGATAAATTCAGCAGGTCTGTCAGCATCTGTGGAGGAAAAGCAGAATTAACGTTTTGGTTCAGTGACCCTACCTCAGAGCCAGGACTAACTGCAAAACTGGCACTTCTGAAGACAGGTCACCAGACTTGAAAGGTTCACTCTGCTTTCTCTCTGCCAGACCTGCTGAATTTCTTGATCAATTGATTTTTTGTCACATGTACCGGAATACAGTGAAATGCTTTGTTTACAAGTGGTACAGGCAGATCACAGCAAGCAAAGGATGCACAGATCAAAAAGCCTTAGGTCTGTTCTTGTGTCAAGTTTCCAGCATCTGCCACTCTTTGATTACACCACTTAGTACAATGTGACTGGTGCAATGGAATCAGCATTTTTATACCTGTTTGACCAACTCTGCTATTTGTACAGTGCTACAACAGGAAATGTTGACACAGTGAAACCTCTTCAGAACTGAATAAAAACTGGAAGAACTGCAGATGCCATAAATCAGTGACAAAAACAGAAACTGGTGGAAAAGCTCGGCAGAACACAGCATCAGCAGTTCTTTTGGTCTGAGGAGGAGTCACTCGATCCGAAACATTAACTCTGATTTCTCTCCACACATGCTGCCAGGCCTACTGAGCTTTTCCAGCAGTTTCTATTTTTGTCACCGATTAAAAACCGATCCAAGCTAATACCAGTTACAAAAAAAATGTACTACCCCTCTCCAGTTTTTAATATATGATAATCTACTTATAATACGTAAGTGGATTGTTCAGAATCTGAAACACCAATGGACCAATCAGATCAGTTTAGGTATGTATGCACTGAAAAAAGCATCAAAACTGAACAGTGGGTGGTTGGGATGTATAACAGGTAAATATAAAAAGAAAAATCTAGAAATGAACAAATAAACACAATTCTATCCTGACAAGATCAAGAAAACTTGCATTCACGCTCACTGTTGCTTGGTCAGATTTAATTTACCTGTGGCCTTCACTGTACTGAAGTTTTAACATTACTTCAGTCATTTAACAATCAACTGGTTAACATAATGACATCTTGTTCTCTCCTGGAGAAAATTTTTCATTATCTACCATGAAGTCAGCTCACTGCCCACAAAATAGTTTTGTTTCAAATCACATGACCTTAGGGAAAGTCAGTTCCATTGCCAATAATTTCTGTGACAATTATGAAGCAACAACCATCACTTGACAAAACCTTAGCAGTTTTCTGTATGTTGCTTGGCCAGTAGATTTGGAACAAATTATCACTGGAACATTGGTGTTTTAAAAATTAGATGGACAGGCCAAAATCCTATAGCTGAAATGATGTTCTGAAGTCCTGGTACCAATCTCCTCTTGGAACTGCCCTTCTGGTCAATTCCGAAAATGCTTAGCACAAGTACTGTTTGGTTACAGCATTTGTTTTGAAGCAAGTAGCTCTTAATGGAGTCCAAACTCCTGTAGCTTAACAACAGAAAGGGAGATGAACTCTCTTTGTCTGGTGTCATTCCAACCCTATTATTTCCTCTGTCCTGACTGCAATCCTGCATGGTAACTGGACATAACTTCCTGTTCACCCCACAATGATTGCTGCAGGTAATTAGCAATGCCAATAAAATGAACAATGTGATTTCTTCAAACCCTTGAGAATTTTAAAAGCAAACATTGATTTACTTATTTATTGTCACACATATCCTGTCACAAATTAATGTGAAAATTGATGTAGCGTGCAGCTCTCTGGTTCCCTCTTAAAACACAGAAAAATAAACCAAAATATAGAATAAAAAGGCAGAAAAATGAAGAGATACAAAAAGTGTCCAATTCTACAGTCCTTCTTGTCAAGTGCTCTGCCATGGGCCAAGGACCTGGTGGCCGGGCATGAGTCCCCTTCACCAGGCCGTAGGAATGGAAGTGACTTCCCTTCAACACATCTCACCTCCACCGATATAACCAGCACCATCTTGATCACACACTTAATTACAAATCCGGAATTAAAAAAACCCAGCAGAAATAAAGGAAACAAGGCCAAAAGGAATAGAGACGTCCAGATTAAAGTCTTATTTAAGTCTTATCTCCATGCAGGCACCCAGGCTGAGTCATGGCCTGGAGTCTCGGGAGAAGCTGAGTGTTTGCTGCTGCTGACACTGTGCTGGAATGAGCTAGAATCCTGAGCTTCTACAGGACTACTACACAGTGCGCTAAATATCTGAAAACCAACCAAGGTCCTGTTAAGGCCTCAATGCTGGTGCGCAGCGTGACACAAAGGAGAAGGGAAGGTGTTCGAGATCTACTATAGGTAGTTCTGCCATAACACGTGTCTCGTTAATGCAAATTGGCTGTAATGTGATTGATAAATAGTCAACGCTGTTTGGATAATGCAAACTTTCTGCTGTACAGGTATAGTGATTTCACAATAATCTGATTTTTTTCATGGCAATTTTCTCCAGTATCATTCTCTAAAGCGTGAGATTGCACAAGAATGCAATTATTGCGTTATGGGAGAACGACCTGGACACTCGCTTTTTCTCTCCTTTCATATTGTGGATTTTCTTGTGTTTTGGGGTACACAGTAAACTGAATGTGTTTACAACAGTTGGTAATAAACTCCAGCTGAACTGAAGGGACCTTTGGCCCTGATTTTCTGTTGTTGGACTGGGCAGGAGAACATTACATTCACACCCTGCCTTCCTCTAATTGGAAGCTTAAAAGGGTTAAAAGCATCTTTCTTCCACAGGTTACACAGTGAAACTTTGCATTTCGACTTTGTTGCCGACAAAAATAAAAAAAGCAAACAGAAAAACCTTGCAGTAACAATCATTATCCCTGCTTGAACCCGAAGGCTGGATTTCCACTCCGACTGAAGGTAAAGTCCTTGGCAAGGAGTGAGTTTGTGTCAGGCTGAGCGAGGAACATGCAAACAGAAACATTCAGGTAGAACATTGCTTGGTCCTTATTTTGACAAGATAATTCAGAAGGTACAAACAGCAGCTATGGGGATATCTTCATACATTGGAACAGGAGTAGGCCATTCAGCCCATCAAACCTGTCCCACCATTCAATGAGATCATGGCTGCTCTGTGGTCTAACACCATATGCCTGCTTTTGGCCCATATTCCTTAATACCTTTGCTGAACAATAAATGTACTTTTCTATCTTTTGAAATTAACGTCTAATCCAACATTGACTCGTGTTTGCAGAAGAATTCCAAGCTTCAAGTGCCCCTTGTGCATAGAACCTTCAACCTTCTTACATTAAACATGCTTAATGAAAACAACATTCAAATGCTTTTGTTCCGTGTAAGGTCTGCATGGAACAAAAATATCTACTCTTTTCTGGTGACTGTGGAAATATGGTTGTGAAACAGTAAGTAGGATTTCTCAATTAACGACCTGACTGTCCATTTAATTTTAAATCACTTAAAGAACTCATGATTCCAGTGAAAATTTATTCCAATTCTACTGGACAAGCGATTCACAGACAACTATTAACAATAAGAACCAAAAGAACTGCAGATGCTGTAAATCAGAACAAAAACAGAAATTGCTGGAAAAGCTCAGCAGGTCCTGCAGCATCTGTGAAGAGAAATTGGAATTAACGTTTAGGGTCGAGTGATCCTTCCTCAGAACTCAATTAAACTATTAACTATTAACAATAGCTGTTACAATTTAATGCAAATAAACTGTAGCATATTCACATTAGAATGACTCATTTTCTTCCGTATTTTCATAAAGATTTAAGTAAAAAAAAAGAAGCTCTCTACAATAAATCAAACACTTGGCAAGTTCATTGATACCACACTCTCCTGCAAAATCTTTATGCTGCCTTTCCTGGTACAGCTAACACATTACAGGGATGATTTCCAAATAAAAGGCCACCCATCTGTCACCCAAACTAAAAGGCAGGTGGTAGATGAAAATTATGGGGTCCTTTTGTCACCTGATTGACCCTCACGGCTCACCAGCTGTACTTTCAGGCAGGCTTATTAACAGGCAAGCCACTGCTGTCTAGGGAAAAGAGGCTCTGCCCTTTGTGTCGACACATTTGCAATTTTCCCATGAAATGGGTGGATCGTGCAAATTTTACTTTACGATCTATCGCTATCCAGCCCATTTATGGAGGCTAGAGGGGTCAGGTCGATAGTCTACTCCTGTTCTTTTTCTTATGTTCTCTCTTTAACTTGCCCAAGGAATGCTCAACTTCCATAAAAAGAGATGGTTCCTGAAATTTCTCCATGACCTCCACAGAAACCTAACACATCCTTACATCCGACAATCTGCATTATTCAACCATGGCTGATTGCATTCCACGGAAGACTTTCCCATGGTCTCAATAGCAGTGGAACAATATTTGCCTATAGTACGTTAATCAGTGGGGAGGCAATGGCCTAGTGGTATTTTCGCAGGACTGTTAATCCAGAGACCCAGATAATGTTCTATGGACCTGGGTTCAAATCCCACCACGGCAGATGGTGGAATTTGAATTCAATAAAATATCTGGAATTAAGATTCTAATGAGACAATTAACCCATTGTTGATTGTTGGAATAACCCATCTGGTTCACTAAATTCTTTTAGGGGAATGAAACTGCCATCCTTACCTGGTCTGGCCTACATGTGACTCCAGATCCACAGCAATGTGGTTGACCCATAACTGCCCTCTGGGCAATAAATGCTGCCTAGCCAGCAACGCCCTCATCTCGTTAATGGATAAAGGACCTCTATCTACACCTACTGTCATAATGGTTAATTGTATCCTTAACTAGATAAACATCAGGTTTATTCTTTGCTTTCATTATTTGCTTTTCTTTCGTATCATTCTGAGGTCAAACATCCATTAAGAAAGTTGGATTTGGTAGTAAACTGCAAATTTACTACATTAAAAATATATTTCTGGAAGTTCTGCAAATCTTAGCAATCGGCTTATTGCAGGATTAAAAATAAATGCTTTGTTCCATCATTTCTTTAAAAAAAATACTTTCTTTGCAAGTCTATGTAAAGTCGGAAATATACAGAATGAAAGAGTTTTTCATACAATCCATACAGTATGGAAACAGGCCCTTCGGCCCAACCAGTCCACACCGACCCTTGGAGCATCCCACCCAGATCCATCCCCCTATAACCCACACATCCCTGAAACACTATAGGCAATTTAGCATGGCCAATCCACCTAGCCTGCACATCTTTGGATTGTGGGAGGAAACCCACGCAGACACGGGGCAAATGTGCAAACTCCACACAGACAGTCACCCAAGGATGGAATTGAACCCGGGTCCCTGGTGCTGTGAGGCAGCAGTGCTATCCACTGAGCCACCATGCCTCCCTATGCCCCTTCCTTTTGGTATTTTTAAGCTATAAGTGAATTTCTTCCTTCTCCATTCACAATGGCCAATACTGATGAATTTGTTCATTCTCTAGCCCTGAACACATGGGATGGGAATGAACGCATGGCTTTTGGGTAGATGCAATGAACAAACCTAGATGTAGGTCTGTCGACAAAAATCAATGATCAAAAGAAAATAACAACACAAAATTATATTCAATCACCATTCAAGTCAGTATTTGGCAAAGCATAATCTAAATCTGGGGACTAACGTGGTCAGGTGAATACTAGATCCATTAATTCTTGTTAATATCTTCTAAATGCATAATTTCTGAGAGGTGAAAGGGCCTCAACTAACAAGTGAAAAGTTAAATAAATGGCCAAGATAATTATTGCCACAACTTTGGAGGGAGCCAATGGCATAGTGGTGTTATCACTAGACTATTATTCCAGAGACCCAGGTAATGTTCTGGAGACTCAGATTTGAATCCCACCACAGCAGATGGTCAAATGGTCAGGCTTCCATGATGCCTATTATGGTAAATGCACACTCAAAACTCTCAGATTGAAAGGTCTGTGATTCAATCCAAAAAAAAAGTGAAGATTACTCAAAAGGCAAAAGCTGAATCCAATTTCAAAATGCAACAAACAATTGAAATGAATCTCACCAAAAGGCATATTGGTTCAACTTATTACATCTTGATATAATGGGCTAAATTTCCATCCCAAGGCTTAAGTAGGTCTGAGGACACATATGCTATTTCTCAGGTCTGTTTTCAAGGATGCTAGCTTTTAGGAGTGACCTCCTCAAACATCTCCTCTCAGATCACGCCACAGCCAGTGCCAGGTTTCTGCCCAGAGTTCGGTCCACCATCAGATCGGAATCATGAAAATTATGGGCAGGCAATGGCCTAGTGGCATTATTGCTAGACTATTAATCCGGACACCCCAGTAATGTTCGGGAGACTCGAGTTTGAATCTCGCCACGGCAGATGGTGTAATTTAAATTCAATAAAGATCTGAAATTAAGAATCTGATGATGACCGTGAATCCATTGTTTGAAAATCCCATATGGTTCACACTAATGTCCCTCAGGAAAGGAAACTGTCATCCTTACCTGGTCTGGCCACAGCAATGAGGTTGACTCTTAACTGCCCTCTGGGATGGACAATAAATGCCTGCAGCGCTCTCATCCCACTAATGACTATATATTAAAAAATGTGACATCCATCACAGAGCACTGCCAGATTGAGCCCCTAACCACATACTTACCATTTATTGATTGAAACTGAAGTAGCACACTGCTGCATCCCACTGTAATGAGAAAGGTCTGTTTCCCCACACGACAACTTTCCGTCTCATGGTTCATGGAACACTTGAATACGCAAGCTCCATTTCCTGCAAGAAAAGACATCTTATCTCAGAACGCATCCTTGGCTGCCATAGGTTGAGCTAAGTCCGGTTGCATCCTCAATTTCTTAGTAACATCTGAAATTTACGAGAACATCAGGAAATAGGGTAAAATTATTTGTGTTGCCTTTATGCATAATTCTGGATTTATGTATATTTTGGATTTATTGTTTCCATGCACACAGAAATATGAAACACATTTCTTGGTAGTGATGATGTTTGGACAGTTGATTTATTTACAGAACCAAAATATCATGATTTCTTCCAAGGAAATCAACTTGTAAGGCTCATTTAGCTGTTTCCATGAAGAGGCATGTCGTACCAATGTTGCAATAGCCAATGCAAAGACTGAGGGGATGACTCAGTAGAGATCTTTAAGCTTAGGCATGGGTTTGAAAAGGCATACATAGAGATGTTCTGGGAAGGAAATTGAAACTCTACCAAAACTCTCTCTGGAACATAATGCTTCTGCTGTTTACATAGGGTCCAGGAGCTGCATGGCTGACTCCTGGTCTTAGTTTCTATGTTTAATGTGCAGTGCTAGTCTATAGCTTCACCAGATTGACATCTTAACTTTAGTTACACCAAATCCTGTTCCAAGTATGTCCTTCTACATGCTAAGGTTGATTAAACTAAGGTTGATCCTTTATCTTGATGGTAATGACAAAACGAGGGAGATACTGAGCCAACTAAGTTATAAATTGTGGTTTAACATAATTCTGTTGTTGCTAGCAGCTCACAGTTCCACGTGGACGGTTTGAGCCATCTGAAACTGTCTCCGTTCAACATGGTGCTAGTGTCACAAAACAGGATGGATGGTGTTCAGATTGTGAATTCATGAACTTGGTTTCCACAAAGACTGTGCAATGACCGCTCCTACCAAGAATGCTACAACCAGATGCATCTGTGACAGGAAGAATGAGGAGGGCGAGGTCAATTAGATGTCTTTGTTTTCTCATGACCTACAACAGGCCCCAATTTGGCGGCTACGTCCTTCAGAACCTTTCTGATGAACATTGACATCCTCCAATTCTGTGCCCTTGCTAGACTTGGTGCTTCTTTAAGCGAGTATTCAATATGAAGGAACACTGACTCATCACTTGAGGGAGTGAGTTATGTAGTAATTAGCAGGTTTCCTTGCCTTTGTTTGACCCAATGCCATGAGACATCATGGAAAACTGAACGAATGTTGGCCACTCCCAAAGCAACATGTTGTACCCAGGAATAGCGATGAAGGGGGTCTAGGATCTTGGCTGAAAGGTATGGTTCTGTGAGAATGACTATGTCAGACTGTTCTTTGCGTAGACTGGGAAACAGCTCTCCCTCTTATTGGCACCTGTCACCAGACATTTGTGTGGAGAATATGCCAGTGTCCAGTGGACTAGGGGTGCATTTGTCATGTCTAACTGGACCAGGTATCTCTTCGGTTTTAGTCTTATTGAAGTTACTCATGGTAGTGTTGATCCAGCTGAACAGTTTGCTAGTGCATTTCAGAGGGCAGTTAATAGTCCATTATATTCTATGGGTCTGAAGATACATATGGCAGGTTGTCTCGCTCGATGACATTCATGAACCAGGTGGCCTTTTAAGAAGCTATGATGACCATTTAATTTAACTCTTTTCCCAAAGTGCCATGCTAACATTTTGAGCCGTGTGTCCGATCATTAATGGAGGCTGCTAGCATACCAGTTCTGTAACACAACCATTATACTAGATACCTGTTAGTAATAAATCTAGTAGAGGATCCTCTATCCAGAAAGTGGGTAGAATTGTAGCACATGATACACTTAAAACAGGGCAATATTAACATGGGAGGAAAAAGGGAACAGCAATGATAATGACGATGATAGGATGAAATGAAGTGGAATTGGAGGAGACTAATGTGGAGCTTAAACTCTGATATGGATTAATTTGACCAAGTGGCCTGCTTCGAGACTATACATCCTCCATAATTCTATAAAATGAAGTGATCCCGTGTGCTTAGTAAAGGTTGTAACAAGTCATACAGAAGTGTTTCTCCCATCTATCTGTGGGTGAAGGCCACCACATTTTACCAGGGGATTATATAGTCAGCTTACTCCTACTTCACAGCACTTTGAAGCTCAGTCACATTTCTTGGTTATAATGACATCAAGAGATAGGGAACAAGCACAGGAAAACTGATCTGAGATAGACAATTAGCCCTGATTTAGAATGGTGGGGCAGTTTTCAGAGTCTGTCCAGCTTACTCTTTCCCTAAGTTTCTATAGTATTACCCTCCAAATGCATTTTATAGGATATAGCTAACAGTACGCTGTAATTATACAAGGCATTGGTGAGGCCGTACCAGCTGGAGTATTGTGTGCAGTTTTGGTCTCACTATCTGAGGAAGGATATTCTGGTGATGGAGGGAGTGAACCAATGGTTTCCTGGACTGATTCCTGGGATGGCAGGACTGCCGCATGAAGAGCGACTGGATTAGTTAGGAATATATTCACTGGAGTTTAGAAGAACGACAGGGATCTCTTAGAAATCTATAAAATTCCTAACAGGATTAGACAGGTTAGATGCAGGAGGGATGTTACTTGATGGTGGGAGAATCCAGAACCAGGGGTCATAGATTAAGGATGAGGGGTAAACATTTTAGGACTGAGACAAGGAGAATTTTCTTCATCCAGGGAGTAGTGAGCCTGTGGAACTCACTACCACAAAAAGTGGTTGAGGCTTAAACATTGTGTTCTCAAGAAGAAAGTAATAAAGCTCTTGTAGCTAAAGGGATCCAAGGATATGGGAATACAGTGGGATCAGCCAGGATCATAATGACCAGTGGAGAAGGCTTTAAGGGTTGAATGGCGTATTCCCATCTTCTCTCATTATGTTCTCAACTTGGCTTTTTCTGTTTCTTGAAGGCAAGTGTTACCTGTGCTCAGCATTATTCCTGCCTTCACAGCTGCAGTCAGGAATTTACCAAGTGTAGAAACTACAGTATGGGCACTTGTATTTTACAAAACTCACAATGCAGCAGCAAACCGTAGCAATAATATCCTGCATCCACAGCGTGCCTTGTTTTTATGCTGCAGTAATGCTGTTACTCAACTATTAATTGCAAATTGTGTGGTACTCGGCAAACATAGGAATTATGTATGAAACTCATATCTGCCTGTACCAACAGATATACCAAGACAGTCTCCTTCTCCATGATGAGAGAAGGTGGTTTGTTTTAATGAACATGTCACTTGCCTCGGTAAATCTCTTTGATTGACTGAGCCAAGCTAATCTCATGATCCTCATGTTAGCTCATTCACAGGCAATGCACACAACTCCCCAGAGCAATATGACAGGAGGGAGTTTCCTCTGCTTGCTCTGACATGAGAAATCACTGAGGGAACTGGGTTAACAAAACACGGTTCAAGAGTTCAACAGCCTGTTGTCACACTCTATCCATCCTTAAAATGCCTCAGCACTAAAATAACATTGCAGCTTGCTGCTTAACAACACCTGCCTGTCCCTCGAGACTTACCATATGACGCAGTAAAGCCTTCCAAACTACAGTAAAGAAGCACTGCCTGACAAATGCATTATTTAAAAGTTGTCAGAACTACAGCCTTGCAAAATTTTTGAGAAAACAATACATTAATTGCATACGTTGCATCAGAGATTACATAAAAACAAGGGACTGAAAACATAAATTATGTTGATCCTATAGCTGGACATCAATAGCTATTAACTGGTTTCAATTACATTCTTGTTAGTTTCAGTTAATACACGTTAATAAAGATGGTGACATCATGATAATTCCAGGCTAATGTTTTACAGACATCAGACAAATCCCACCATCGCAGCTGGTGGGAGTTACATTCAATTACTTAAGTCTGAATTTGAGAGGGCTCGTGTCACAATTGTAGTGTCCCTATCTCTGAGCCAGGAGAGCTGGGTTCAAGTCCCTCCTGGTCCAGAGGCATTGCTGAATGGGTTGATTAGAATCTAAATCTGAAACTGAAAGCTAGTTTCAGTACTGATGATCTGAAACAATCATCCCTTTCTTGTAAAACACCTATCAGCCCCTTTGGGAATGAAATTGGCTATCCAGACCCAAGCTGGTCCACAAAGGGGATTAGTGAACCAGATGGGTTATCTCTCTCCAACAATCAGCAATGGCTTCATGGTCATCATTACACTCTTAATTCCAGATTTTTGTTGATTTCTAATTGCACTACCTGATGTGATGGAAGCCTGGCTCCCTGGAACATTACTTGGGTCTCTGCGTTAATAATCAAGTGATAAGGCCACTAGAACATTGGCTCCCATGTCCCTGAATTTGAGAGGGAAGCTTTCCTGTTTGTGATTGCTGCCTATTGCTGACCCTGTTGGAAGTACTATTACGGGAACATTGGGTCAGGACAGGGTTGCCTTACAGCTGAGTAACCGTTTAACGCTCACACAGGAAGAATAGGCTCTGGGTAAAGTGGGACTGAACACTCATTAAACCATCATTGTGCAAGGAGTCATCACAGGAGAGAACTGGAAGGGAAACAGATAAAATGAAATAATTCACAAGAACGTTTGGGCAGGATTCTTCCAGTCCCGATCTGGTGTGCTGGGTTGTGAGAGATCTGGGAAAATAGCAGGCAGCTGCACTGGGACTCCTGCCTGATGCAGTTCTTTCACCCAAAAGGGTTCCAGCAGTGGGACCGGATGAGAACGAGAACCTACCAAACGAAAGGAGACGGCCAATGAAAATGAAGCTAGGGCCCATGAATGACAGTTTCCCCAGGCAGTCGGCATTCTGCGGGAGCTGAGCCCTCCACATGGGGAAGCTGCTGGATTCCCGGAGACAGCCTACTTCCAATCAGGGAATATTGGAGCTGGAGGCTTCATGCTACAAGGAGGGAGGGCCCACAATGGGAAGGCCGTCACATGACCCCATTGGGCTGTCTGAAGGGGCCATGGTCCTTCTCAGCTCCATTCTTCTTCTTCCCTCGCTGGGGAAGCTTTTGTCTTAGATGTCT